TCCTGTCCCTTGAACTGACCGACCCAGTGCTTTAAAGTCTTTTTTAATTGTCCTGGCACTTCTTTGATTAATGTCCTCACTGCCAGCCTGGACTACCACCAGTGGATAATAGTCTGAGGGCTGAATTAACTCAGGAAGTCTCTTACTAATATCCCTCACCCTGGCCCCAGGAAGGCAGCATACTTCTCTGGGATGGGTCTGGGCGACATATAGGGCCCTCAGTTCCCCTCAGAAGGGAGTCACCGACTACAACTACCCTTCTTTTTTTTTTTTATACCTGTGGTTGTAATCCGTCTTTTAGACGGGGCCGAACCAGGATGCTCTCCAGAGAGATCTTCTTGGCTGTCCTCTACCTGACTGTCTGGGTCCAGGGTCTCATATCTGTTCTTCAAGGGCACCCTGGGGGGTGATGGGGGTCGAGAGAGAGTTCTTTTACCTCTCCCATTAGGGACCTGTTTCCATTGTCCCCCATCAATTTGGTCTGCTCCATCTGCCTTGTGGCAGGAGGGGAAGGGCTTCGCCGTCTCTCGTTGGACTTCCTTAGGGTTCAAAAGGGTTTGACTCCACCAATTTCCTTTTCACTCTCCCTAATGCACCTTAATCTCTCTACTTCTTCCTTAAGTTCTGCTACCAGGCACAGCAAGTCACTCACCTGCTCGCATCGTACACAGCTACTTCCTACACCATCCTCCGGTACCAACGCCAGGCTCAGACACTCAGCACACCCAGAGACCTGGGTGGCTGCATCCTTCTTCGAGGGGAGTGTCTGAGCACACACACTCCTAGTATTAACAGCAGTAACGGCTTTTGTTTTTCTGGAAACCATTGCTAGCTTTAAAAAGCACACTCACCTACGAGAAGTGGGAGCTGGTTGTGCCCTGACTGCTTGACATGCCTTGAAATTGCTGTACCACAGCCCTGTTAGTCTGATCCTGTGGGGATCAGACTGGAGGCTCTTATATGAATAGGAGGCTTTTATATGAATAGGATTTGGGGTCGATAACGCCGCTGAGCGTAGAGGCGCTCTACCCCTAGAGCGTGGGGAGTCTGGGTAACCAGGCGGTAGAAGCCGCATTCCCCGTGCCCAGCAGTCGGAGGGGTTGATTTGGTGAGGAACAGCGAGTGAAAGCACGGAAGAGAACACCAGCACAGCCGCCCTACGGTTATGCTGTCGCCCGGCTCCGCTAGCACCGGCCCCGGGACCCCCCGCCGGCCGCTGAAAGGGCGTTCCGAATGTCACCCCGCCTCGCCTCATTGGCCGAGCTCGTCGCGCAGTGCATCACGGGAGTTGTGGTTGCTCCTCTCGCCGCCCCTCGGCGGCGCAGTTCGAACGGGCACCGCATTTCCCGTCAGCCTTTGCGGGCACTGCCCGACTCCGCACGGCTGGGCCGCCTCATCCGGGCCCTCCGGCGGGCCCGGCCAATCGGCTCTCGGCGGGGGCGCACGGCGGGCGCTGATTGGTGGGTTCGGGCGGGCGGGCCCCGTTTGAAATGCGTTAACGGCGGCGCCGCGCGGGGCGCTGAGGGGAGTGAGGGGGTTTGGGTTGAGACCCCCCTGGCTCCGGCCTTGGCGCTGTTTCTCCAGACCCGCTCTGCTTGTGAGGACGCGGCGCCGCCCGCAGCCCATGTGTCGCTAACGGGGCCCAGGGCGCGACTCGGTAAGTGCAGGAGGAGGGAGGCGGCTCGCGGCGCTCAGCCCGTGGCCGGAGCCGCTGTCGCTGGGGGCCTAGCTGGTTGGGTTCCCGCTCTCCCTGTGGGATCGCGGTGCTGGGACAAGCCTTGGGCTCGGGTGGGTTCCTCGGGAGTGATGGGAACTTCTGAGTCCTTAAAAATATCACGAAATCTGATGGAAAGGTGTGTTTCACGATCTCGCTCTGCTGCTTCTTCTCAGGCCAGATTCTGCTTCACAGGAAAAGGAGGGAAGCCAACCAGGCGAAGCCGGGCTCAAGTAACAGAAAAAGCATCAAGGGAGCTATTTTTGCGCGGTGCTTTTTTTAAGCTAGTGGACCTTTAACTTAACCTAACAATAAGGTGAGGTTATACTGGCTAAAAATAATTTATTTTTCCTTGAACTGATATTCTTAGACTGCCCCATCTTCTTGTCTTCTGAAACTTGTGGGATCTCTTTTAGGGAGGGTGAGCTGTCAGGGCTGTTTATTTTCGGGGCTGAGGGCGGGTCTGGGCCGTTAGGGCAGCGATGGCTGTGCCAGCACCTCGCCCCTCCCTTGTCCCTGGAGCTTCCTGCTGGCTCCGCTCTCGGCTGGGGAGAGATAAAGGCTTTGTCTCTTAATTTGGGCCCTGCACGACGGAACAGCAGCGTTGCCTCGGTTCTGTGCCCGGGATGGTGAATCCGGTGTTGATTCTGTGCTGCAGAGAAGCACAGCTGAACACTGAGTGGGGAGGGGGCACTAGTGAGGAGGGAGAAGCTGCAGATCCAGAGTGTGTTAAAAGTGTTCATTTCACCCTGCTCAGGGAAAAGCAAGGATCAAGGATGGCTTTCCAAGGCTTATGACATCATATGGAAGTAGTTCAGGTGGTGGGTGGGATGGCTTCTGCCAGGCTGTGGTGGTGGGACTGTAGCTACAGAGAGGCAATTTCCAGCCCTTTCTAATGGTCCAGTGTACACATTAACCACTGAAAAGCGTCTTGCAACTTTGTATTATTATCCCTAAAAAAGGGATGGAAAGCTCAGGGTTTGAGGACAATAAAGAAGCTGCCAGGTTAGTGCAGTGTCCTGTGTGGAAGCAGCAGCTGGTGCTGGAGCCCAGGAGAAGGTCCTTTATCCAGGCAGGGTCTGCTGTTCCTGCTTTTGGCACAAAATTCTCAACTACACTGAGAAAAAGACACTGATGACATCTGTGATGGAATCGTGTCAGTATTTTAAAGCTAATTTGGATTAGAGCGAGGTGTGAAGTTATTCCAAAATACCTCCTGTGCTTGCTGTTGGATCAGTCTTATTCTGGGATAGGAATGCTTGTTTCAATTTAGCTTAATCCTTTTTCAAAGCTAACTAATCTAAACCATGCCAAGGCACTCTTCTGGAACGTGCCAGAGTGTAGTTACTCAAAGGAAACCTGACATCCAGAGGAACCCACTGCCCATTCCTCTGTGTGGATATGGCTGTGCTGCTCTGGAGGCACGTTTAGCTCAGTGAGAGGGCAGACCTAGAAAGAAAATTAAGGTTTTAGTCAGGCAGTTGCTTTATAAAAGGAATTTGAAGTGGTTTTGAACGTGAGAAGAGCAGATCCTCCTTTCCTGCCCCAGCAGCTCCGCGAACCAGGCGAAAGCTGATCCTGCAGAACGGGGGAGAGGGTTCCCCAGCTGGCTGGGGACACCTGTGTCGACACAGGAGGTGATGGATGTGGGGGAGAGCAGGGTCAGGCTTTAAATCCACGCCGGAGCTGTGTAGGGTTACAGTGCGCCTGCAGTCACGCTCAAGGAAACGCATGCAGTGCCTGCTAATTGGGGGAATGGCCCTATTAATGAAAAGAAATTTCCTCAGCTCACTTCAGGTGGATGAGTGCCACGGTGGAGAGAAAGAATTTTGGGCTGAGATGGATGTGATTGTGCTGCCAGAATCCTGCCCAGGTGTTTTGAAACGCCTGCAGGGAGTGGGCAGCGGGGGTCGGGCTGTGCCCGGCGCAGCCTGTTGGGATGGCAGGAGCTTTTGTGGTGGCACATTGGAGCGATAAATCACTGGAACGTTCCTGTCTGATGGGAGCTGAGTCGGTGGGTGGAGGAGGGAGATGCCTTTCAGTGAAGTGCTGCTTCACTGTCCATCCTGCACTGGGCAGGACTGGGAGGATACCTAGGGATTTGAGAAACAGACACCATGACTTCATCTGACTGAAATGGACCCTCTGGAGTTCAGTCACAATAACTTTTACCTCCCCGTTGTCTCTTTCAAAGACCTTGGAGTACGAGCCTGAGGCATTGATACAATCCCTTTCTTTTCCTGACTATTCTCTTCTGTCTGGGATGGAGGGAAGGGAAGAGAGAAGGGGTCGGTGATGAGGTCAGCGATGAGGGTGCTGACACTATGGGACAGTATGGACTTTACACAGTAAAAAGCTGGGAACTGCAGCAGTGTAGCAGTGGGCACAAGTAGCTGTGAAACATGATGCCCAGAGCTCTGACTTGGTGAACTGACTGGGGAGGGTGAGGGGAGAATGCAGATGACGCATTTGATTTTTAAAAAAGTGGAAAGTGTTGACAGAAACTCTATCTTGATTAAGGGCAGTAGGAAAGCATTCGATTCCAGCCATGTCTCCAGCTCAGTTACAGTTGGTTTTGGCTCTGATTCTTCTGTTTGCCTTCTTTGGGCCCTACCTTGACATCTTCACAGCCGTGTAGCCGGTGCTTCTCTAGTGCCATTCTTCCCTTTGGCTATTGCAGTTCTGCTCAGGGGAGCTGGAGGTTTCTCAGTGCAGCCATCCTCAGGTTGTGACCAGACGTGATACCCCCTGAATGCTGCATTTCCTTATTTATGGAGCACACACCATCTGGGTCGAACCTTGTGTGGTCTGCCTAGACAGATGGTTTAGGGCTGAGGCTGCCTGGGTTAGGAATACTCTGCCTTGGAGTTGCCTGGGCTCATAAAAGCAAAGTTCAGGTGATTTCCTGAGGGAGGGTTTTATAACATCCTCGTGGGCTTTGCCTCGCAGCTGTGCGAGGCACCGCCAGAGCACCTTTGAGAAAGGGTTTTGATGTGATTTCGGGGTTTATAACTTTGTCGCTGGCTTTATTCCTGTTCCGTTGAGTTTAATATCACCTGTTGACACAGGGACTCCTCTTGCTGTCAGTGCTCCATTAATTAACTGCAGGGACTGTTTGACATGGTCACAGTGCTCGGTTTGTTTATAGCCTGGCCAGCCTTGGGCTAGTGCTGTGGAATGCAGGAGGGCCTGACACTGCCCTCCTTCTGACTTTTTGCCCAGTAACAGTGCTCTACAGAGCCATTTTCCTGCTTTGAAAATCAGTTTACTCTCTAGAAGAGCACCTTTGTGTCATTAGTTTTGTTTGTAGCCCTTCAGAGGGAGACAGGCTGTGCTTTGCAGTGCTCTGGAGTGAAGATCATCAATTTTGTAAATCCTGTAAGGATAAGAACTCTTCTTTGTGCAGTGGCGAGGAAAGGAAGTGCAAATCAGTTGCTTTCTGGAAAAGACTTGTACTTTACTTTGTCATAAAAATACAATTCTAGCACCTACAGGTACAAAGAAAACCCTCAAAACTTGATCTTCCTGATAGTTCTGAACCTGCAAATGTCAACAGTGGTGAGATCTCCTTAGCTTTGCCAATCAGCAGTAGGATAAAACCCTGCATTGCTCAAGAGGCATCGTGCCCAAAGATGTGAAGTGCAAGAAAGGGGGGTTGTACCAAAGGCTGTCCCAGTGCCTCTCCCTAGAAACCCCATGGTGGAAGAGAGGTGGGGGATGATTGCACTGACATGCTGTTGTTGTCTAAACAGCTGTAGTGGTGCAGGCAGAGGACTCCTGGGGACAGCGTGACAGCAAGGATGGCGAGATCAGAATCCCGTTACTCCTTTGATGTCCCAAACCCCTGCATCAACTTTGCAACTCTGAATGAGGATGATGCTGATGTGCACAATGCAGACTCCTGGTTTGGTAAGTTGCTTCCAGCTCCTTGATTTGTTGTCTGGTTGGATGAGGCCTCAGTGTTATCTTTGGTTTGGGTGTGGCTTCTGTGCCAATTGGTTAATCGTGTTTTTAGCTGCATCATTTGTCATGCATGGGGGTTTTTCCGTTTGTTTGGTTGTTTGTTTTTCTTTTATTTAAACTTTAATATCTGTGACTTGACAGATGACTTCATTAACCTCATAATGATTTTCTGATGTATTGCTAAAAATTCCTAACATAGTGTGTATAGTGAACATTTCTCTTTTTCTCCTTACAGACCAAAAAGCTAATATGGAGAATATCCCTCCTGCAGAAAATGTGGCAAAGCTCTCACAGAGCAGCCCTGCTTATACAAAGCCTGATGTTCTGTCTGTCTGCACATCACAAGGAGTAGCAATGAGTAAGCTGGCATACTATGGGGGCTAGGGAATTAATTTTCCCTGCTTTTCACTGGCAAAATGGAAAGGCCTCTGTCTGGCTTTTGTGGGACCATCGTCATAAACTGTTGTCTGCAAGGTCTCACATGGTTTTAATTTGTGGTGTTCTTTATAAATGCATATGGATGAGCTGACACTTGTCCCCCTTCTCAGATGAAAGCGACGGTGAAGCAGAGGATGCACAGACCCACATGGTCTCTCAGAACATCGTTGGGTCCCTGGCGACCTGGAGAGCTGCTGCCCCTGCAGAGGCCCCTCAAAGGTGAAATCCTTGTGTTCAGTTTGCAAAATGATTGATGGTGGTGTAACTAAGCAGCTCTCTGCTCTCAGGATCTGCAGTTCTGGCTGTTCTTGGGTGATCCTGTGGGGCTGGAGTTCTCCAGCTCGGAGATCGTGTATTGGGACAGCTGATCTGCTGGCTAAGCTGGAGGGACAGTCTCTAGGGTGGAAATGTAATGCAGTATCTCACATACTTGTCAAATGAGACTTGGTAGCACCAGCAGCTTCTGGAATGTGAGGATATCTGAAACTGAGGTGGCTTATAAAGTTTCTTTGTTTATATCTGTCTCTGACTTGGGCAGAACTTGTTCTTCATATTAGTGCAAGGGGCTCTCTATGCTTGCATATACCAAAGAATAATAAGTTTATAGATTGCTAAACTTTTAATAAATCATGCTGCATTTGGATTGTTGTTTTAAATGCAATTTACATGGTGGGAATGATGGAGTTAGGTGATGCACTGACATAAAAAGTGTTATCCAAGTCGTGTGTCTCCTCAGATCTGTGGGAAAGCTGACCCCTGTTTTCTGTTCTACTCCAGGGTGGGCAAGAAAGCGGCTACAAAGCCAAGAAAAACCCAGCAGCGCAAGCAGCCAGGGA